GGGTCGGGTGGATTTTTGCAGGTCTAAGTCCTGCATTAAGATCTTAGTTAGGTGAATTGGTTTTAAGCACTTTAAGATCGTTGAAATAATTGTCAAAATGTTTTACCAAATCAAATTAGAATATTCATTGAAGGAAGACATGTTAAAAAAAAAATCACTTTTAGTAATGTAACATTTAGGTAGAATTCTAAAGTTAAAATAAGGTGACATGCATACAATCTTATCTTGTACTAATCATGGTGATATTCAAGGACGCCTAACTTGAATTTTGATAATGAAATGATAGATATCTGCTTTTAGGAGAGCGACATGAAGCAGGCCGAATTTCATTTTCTTGGATTTAGACCCCTTCCTCTTTCATTGATAAAAGAAAAAAAGGGCTAGTACAAGGAGGTAGATGCATGTGACATGAAATGAAGAAAAAGAAAGGAAGTTAAGCAAATGGACATATCATACAGAGATTAATTATTACAACACATAGAGAGAAAGAGACCTCAAATTCAAAAGTAGTCTTCAGTCCTTCCCTTGAATCCAATTTGCCCAAATGTAAGGCAAACGAACAGTCCAAAGTGCCATGTAACCAACCACAACCTGCATGCATATATAGTATCAAATCTCACACTTCAAACATCAATAAGTGGGAAACAAATTTTTTTTAAAAAAGAATATAATAAAAGTATTCGTAAGGTGCGAATCAACAACTGAGGTCCCATGGTCTAGTGGTCAGGACATTGGACTCTGAATCCAGTAACCCGAGTTCAAATCTCGGTGGGACCTTCCACCCATGTATTTTATTTTTCATGATTTTTTCAAGTTGGGTTGAGCGACTAATTCCATAATTATGGGCCGTGCTAAAAAACGAAACTCAGCTGGGCTTTATCTTCTTAAGCTAAAACTGGGCTTGCCCCTTTTCCTTATACACATGACACAGCCCATCGATTAAATAAACAACAGTATGATCAAGATTTTTCCTTTTAAAAAAAAATTTTTTTTTTCCTGAATTAAGTTTTTCAAAACAGATTTTAGAAAACCTGAATATTTGAATGACTTTGATACATTGTGATTAATTTAAGGGCATGTAGTGTTGATACGTGATGGGAAAAAGATTAAGAGCACATATAAAATACTATATACTGACCAAAACTGGGAAGTGAC